TCCTGTCCCGCTCCTGCCCGATGGCGCTGCAGTCGCTCCGCTACCGCCGCGGCTCTCTGCAGCTCCTGAACCAGCGGCTGCTGCCGGGGCAGCTCCGCTACGAGCGGGTGGGGGGCGTGGAGCGGGCCTGGGGCGCCATCCGCGACATGGAGGTGAGCGGGACCCCCCGAGAGACCCCCTGAGACCCCCTGACCCGCCCCAGCGGCTGCTGCCGGGGCAGCTCCGCTACGAGCGGGTGGGGGGCGTGGAGCGGGCCTGGGGCGCCATCCGCGACATGGAGGTGAGCGGGACCCCCCGAGAGACCCCCTGAGACCCCCTGACCCGCCCCAGAGACCCCCTGAGACCCCCTGAGACCCCCGGAATGGGATGGACTGGGGGGGACTGGGGGGAAGCTGGGAGGGACTTCGGAGGGTCTGGAGGGGAATTAGGGGGGAACTGGGTTATACTGGGAGGGCCTGGAGGAGCACTGGGAGGGAACTGGGAGGCACTGGGGGGGGCTCCGTGCCCTATTTTATGGGATGGACTGGGGGGAAGCTGGGAGGGACTTCGGAGGGTCTGGAGGGGAATTAGGGGGGAACTGGGTTATACTGGGAGGGCCTGGAGGAGCACTGGGAGGGAACTGGGAGGCACTGGGGGGGGCTCCGTGCCCTATTTTTCCCCCTGGGGTTTTTGGGGCCTCTCTGTGGGGGTGTCCTTGAGTGTCCCCCCCCGGTGTCCCTGAGGTATCCCTGAGTGTCCCCCCGTGTCCCTGAGATGTCCCTGAGGTGTCCCTGACGTGTCCCTGACGTGTCCCCCCGTGTCCCAGGCGTGGTGCGGGCCCTGCACGAGCGGGGCTCGCTGTCCCGCGTGTTCTGCACCGAGACCCGGCCCTACAACCAGGGCTCGCGGCTCTCGGCGCTGGAGCTGCGCCACGACGGGATCCCGGTGACGCTGATCGCCGACAGCGCCGCGGCCGCCGCCATGCGGGAGCACCGCGTGCACGGTGAGGGGACGGGGGGACATGGGGGGGACAGGGGACAAAGGGACAGGGCAGGGGACAAAGGGGGACACAGAGAATGGGGTGCGGGAGCACCGCGTGCACGGTGAGGGGACAGGGGGACATGGGGACAGGGGGACATTGGGAGGATACACAGAATGGGGTGCGGGAGCACGGCGTGCACGGTGAGGGGTTCTCTCTATCCCGGGTCTGTCCCGGTTCTATCCCGTCTCTCTCCCGGTTCTATCCCGGCTCTATCGCGGCTCTGTCCCGGTTCTCTCTATCCCGGGTTTGTCGCGGTTCTCTCTCTCCCGGCCCTATCCCGGTTCTGTCCCGGCTCTCTCCCGGTTCTCTCTATCCCGGTTCTCTCTATCCCGGCTCTCGCTGTCCCGCTCCTGTCCCGGTCCTGTCCCGCTCCTGTCCCGCTCCTGTCCCGTTCCTGTCCCGCTCCTGTCCCGCTCCTGTCCCGTTTTGGGGCGTTTGGGGGGGATCTGAGGGGGTTTTGGGGAGATTTGAGGGGATTTTGGGGGGCGATTTGGCGTTCCCGGGTGGGGGGATTTGGGGTGGATTTTGGAGTCAGGATTTGGGGTCAGGATTTGGGCTGGGTTTGGGGCAGATTTTGGGGTCTCCATCCCCATTTCCCCCCAGCATCATCGAGTACATCGAGGGGCTGCTGGGCTGGGTTTGGGGTTGGGTTTGGGGTCAGGATTCTGGGGTGGGGTTTGGGTGAATTTTGGGGTAGATTTGGGCTGGGTTTGGGGCAGATTTTGGGGTCTCCATCCCCATTTCCCCCCAGCATCATCGAGTACATCGAGGGGCTGCTGGCCAAGGACCGCCGTGACAACCGCAGCATCGGCGCCCACGGGGCCGAGCACATCCTGGGGGGGGTCCCGGGGGGGGGCCCCGTCACCCTCCTGACCCACTGCAACACCGGGACCCTCGCCACGGCGGGCTACGGCACCGCGCTGGGTACGGCACTGGGGGGACTGGGGTGAACTGGGAGGGACTGGGGGGGGGGGGGGGGGACAGAAGGGCACAGGATGGGGACACAGAGCAGGGGGTGGGGACACACGGAGTGGGATGGGGACGAGGAGGAGGGACACGGGATGGGTGACGGGGTGGGCACACAGAACAGGGTGAGGGGACACGGGGTGGGGACACACAGAAGGGGATGGGGACAAAAAGGAGGGTCATGGCATGGGGACACACAGAACGGGGTGGGGACAAGGAAAAGGGACACGGGGTGGGGCCAGGTGACACAGGCCAGGACAGGGACAAAGAGCAGGGGCCGTGGTGGCCCCCCGGTGACGCAGCCCCTCCGTGTCCCCAGCCGTGGTGGTGGGCGCCGACCGCGTGGCGGCCAACGGCGACGTGGCCAACAAGATCGGGACGTTCCAGCTGGCGCTGGCCGCGCGCCACCTGCGCGTCCCCTTCTACGTGGCCGCCCCCAGCAGCACCTGCGACCCCGCGCTGGCCTCGGGCGGCCTCATCCCCATCGAGGAGCGGCCGGGCAGCGAGCTCACCCAGCTCGGGGGCGTCCTCCTGGCCGAGCCCGGTGGGTGCCGGGCCGGGGAGGGGGGCTGGAGGCTGGGGGGGGCACGGGGAGCCCCCCCTGGGGGTGCTGGGGGGTCTGGGGGTGCTCTCAGGGGGGGTCCCAGTGGGTCTGGGGGAGTCTGAGGGGTCTCGGTGGGTCTGGGGGAGCTCTCGGGGGGTTCCCGGGGGTCTCAGAGGGTTGCTCTGCAGGGTTCGGGGTTCTCTGATGGGTCAGGAGGGGCTGGGGTCGCTGCCAGAGCCCCCCTGACCCCGTGTACCCCCTGCCCCCCTCCCGTGCAGACGTGGACGTGTGGAACCCGGCCTTTGACGTCACGCCGCACGAGCTGATCACGGGGGGCATCATCACGGAGTGGGGGGTCTTCGCCCCCTCCCAGGTGTGCCGGGAGGTGGCGGAGCGCGAGGAGCGGTGACGGCTTCCGCCCCGGTGCATCCCGGCAGCCTTTGCGGGACCAAAGCCTCGGTAAATCCCGGCAGCCTTTGCGGCAATAAAGCCTCGGTGTATCCCGGCAGCCTTTGCGCACTTCCGCCCCGGTGTATCCCGAAACCCTTTGCGCACTTCCGCCCCGGTATATCCCGGCACCCCTTGCGCAGTTCCGCCCCGGTGTATCCCGGCGCCCCTTGCGCAGTTCCGCCCCGATATATCCCGGCACCCTTTGCGCACTTCCGCCCCGGTGTATCCCGGCACCCTTTGCTCACTTCCGCCCCGGTGTATCCCGGCACCCTTTGCGGCATTAATGCCCCGATATTTCCCGGCAGCCCTTGCGCACTTCCGCCCCGGTGTATCCCGGCACCCTTTGCTCACTTCCGCCCCGGTGTATCCCGGCACCCTTTGCTCACTTCCGCCCCGGTGTATCCCGCCATCCCTTGCGCACTTCCGCCCCGGTGTATCCCGGCACCCTTTGCGGCATTAATGCCCCGTTGTATCCCGGCACCCTTTGCGCAGTTCCGCCCCGATATATCCCGGCACCCTTTGCGCACTTCCGCCCCGGTGCATCCCGGCGTGCCCCGCGCTCCCTCACGGCCGCCATGGCGCAGGGCCGGCCCAAGGCCGCGGCCAAGCGCCCCAAGGCGGCGGCGGCGGCGGCGCGGAGCGCTCGGGGCCCGCGGAAAGGAGGTGCGGCGGGG